TGTCCCGTGTTGGTGTGTGGGGACAGCTCTATCATTCCGTAGCGGCCTCGGATCGTTACAAATGGTATCAGAGCCGGTTCTCTCCCTGTATGGTGTGGTTCGTGGATGAACCAGGCGAAAGCTGGTGGGCCTGTGATAGCCCAGGATACCGTAGGAGGGCGGAGAGTGATCACCGGTGCGAGAGGCATGGACAATGGGCGGCTCCTGGCGAGCTTCTGGGTAGAGGGTACAGGGATGAATCGGACGCACCGGAATGAGAGGGATCCGAGGGCTGTGTAGGTATGGGACTATACAGTCTAAGATAACTTAAAGGAATTAATTGAGCTACTCATAGCAACAAGATGCATCTACCTTTTCGGTTGCCCATCTCGAGAGAACTCCAAAGTTAAGCGTGTTGGCTCTGGAGTAGTCTTAGGATGTGTGACCTCCTGGGAAGTACTTTCCAGGATGTGTGCGAGTGAGGATAAAGCATGCTAAAAGGTCACGTGTTGGTGTGTGAGGACAACTCTATCATTTCGTAGCGGCCTCGGGTCGTTACAAATGGTATCAGAGCCGTTCTCTCCCAGTACGGTGTGGTTCGAGGACGAACCATGCGAAAGCTGGTGGGCCTGTGACAGTCCAAGATACTGTAGGAGGGCAGGGAGTGATCGTCGGTGCGAGAGGCATGGACAATGGGCGGCTCCTGACGAGCTTCTGGGTAGCGGGTATAGGGATGAATCGGACGCACCGGAATGAGAGGGATTCGAGGGCTGTGTAGGTATGAGACTACACAGTCTAAGATAACTTAAAAGAATTAATTGAGCTACTCATAGCAACAAGATGCATCTACCTTTTCGGTTGTCCATCTCGAGAGAACTCCAAAGTTAAGCGTGCTGGCTCTGGAGTAGTCTTAGGATGGGTGACCTCCTGGAAAGTACTTTCCAGGATGTGTGCGAGTGAGGATAAAGCATGCTAAAAGGTCACGTGTTAGTGTGTGAGGATAGCTCTATCATTCCGTAGCGGCCTCGGATCGTTACACGGTCCAGCCAGCCCGAAAAATAGCGGGCTTCGGCCGAAGTTTCTTGACCCAAAAAAAATCAGACTTTCGGGTCGGGCTCAAATCGGGCTTCGTGTTCGAGTCGGACTGACGCGAAAGCCAGAAAATTTAAAAAAAAAAAGAAAAAAATAACATTTACAAAGGGAGGCCTACGGACCTGTCCGGCCAGCCCGACCCGACCCGAGCCCGGAATGCATAGGATCGGATTTCGGGTTTAATTATATAGGCTTGAAAAAATCGGATCGGCCCGAGCCCGAGCCCAAAACTTTCAGACCAAATACGGGCTCGGACCGGGTCGGGTCGGGCCGGCCTGATTGACACCGCCTATCCGTGAGACTGTGAACCGTTCCATCAATTGAACGGCCTAATTTGAGCCCATTATTCAAAATCAAAGGCCCAAAGGCTCAAAGCCCGACAGGACTGAACGACGCCGTATCAGCTTATCACGGCAAGCGTATATCGCTGACATGGCGAAACGGTAAATCAGAGAAGACGATGGGAACAGTTGTACCGCCATGGAAGCAGCTTGTCCTAGGCGCGATCGAGGCCAATTCTCACCTCAACCACTCTTCTTACATACAGCTCGTAAGTTTTCCTCCCTGTCTGGGCACCCTACCTCGCAAATCGGATGATGCATCGATATAGTTCATCGCTGATTTTGGGTTTTCAGGCGACAATCGGTCTGAGTGGTAGACCTTCGAATCGTACCGTCGTATTCAGGTAAATCTGTCAAACCTTTATGATATGCGGTTTTCTCTGGGTTGATTTTGGTTGGACGTGTGAATCGTTTTTGGCCAGGGGATTTGAAGAAAACAGTGACACGATTCGAATCAATACTGATATTCGCAGCCGCAAGGTTATGATTTTTTCCAGTATTTCGTTGCTCTGTTTCATTTTAGGGTTTTATGCATTTGGTTTGGTTGCAGATTGGAGAGCTTAAGCATTGCCCGTTCTCTGAGGTATTTCTTTAATCCGTAAGGTTGAAGCCTTATTTATCGATATTGCCCTATTCCTATATGTATGTATCCTCTTGAGCCGAGAGTTAGATTGCATAGCATACAGACAAAGATTCTTATGTTGTTGTTGGGTTTTTTTCAAGATATGCTGGTATTTCTCTGATTCTTGGGAGCAGTTCCGGATCAATGGAAGAATTGATGTCATTGATGCATCGAATCCTGACCCGATCAAGCTTCAGGTTGGGCAATCACATTATGCTCTGAATTTACCTGCATTTGTTTCCCTTTGATTGTTCTTGCGAGTTGCGAATGCTCTAGCTTCTTGTCCGTATGCTTTGATCTTCATCGGTGATTGATTGCAGAAAAGGGAGAAAGCTTGGTTTGATAGTTCAATCAAGTCAAGGCTGAACTACCTGTGTCCTACCCCTGGCCTGCCTTGCAACAATGAGCAACCAAACCAGGAAGCTCATTTAGATCCTTCAAGTGGTCCAGTTGTTGAATACTGTCTGCTGCTTCTGGATCCAGACAAGGTCTTTTCCCCTTCTTACCATAACCTCGTTTACTCCCATTCCTGCTGTAGGCATGAGACTACACAGTCTAAGATAACTTATTACGTGAATCTGAATAGTGACCGGAGGTTTATCTTCTCTTCAGTTCTTACTGCGACTGGCGAGAAATGCTGGACTTCCGAAAGGGTTAACCCGTAACCTCCGGGTATCAAATAAAGAATCATCTTGTTTGTCTTAGATGATTCTCTTTCGGATTCATAGAGGGTGTGCTCTGTTTCTCTCTTTACCTGATTGTGATTTTGATCATATACATGGAGTTACTTTTACATGATGTTGACGATTCAGCAGGTTCGTCTGTAGTTTTCATGGCGGTAATACCATTTTAGATCTGACAATTGGATAATTTTGGAAGATGCCATTGCTGGTTAAAGCGCAGTGCTGCTTCATCCTCTCTCAGAAATTCATCAAATGAATCTATTACAAACAAAAAGATTCTCAGCTATACATTATTTTATAGCATGTAAACGAGCAATCTATCACTTATTCTAATCATATTCTATCAAAACTACTAAATCATACATTTTTTCATTTATATATATATATATATGAATTTTTGAAATATATACTTTTTTTTATATTTTAACTATTTTTGTTTATATTATATGGATATATTGATTTTTAAATTAAAAGTCTTTTAAACCTTTAATGAATTAGATTTAAAGAATAATGATGATGTGGTGTTTACTTGACCACTAGAGCAACGTATCTTAAATCTCTAGATAAGATTTAAAGCCCATTTCAATTCATTTAAACCCAATATTTATGAGGTACTCTTTGGATTGAGACCCAACTTATTCCTCACCCACCCATCATATTATTTAATTATATATATATATATATGTGTGTATATATATGTGTGTATGTGAAATTAAAAGAAACTAATAATAGAGAAAATGAAAAAATGTCACATTTTCAATATAATGGAATATATTTTTAAAAGAATGATTTGAATGGAAACAAATAATCAGGTTGCCTAAGCAAATCAATAGTTTAAAAACACGGGTTGCTAAACAAGTTTGATTTCTCCATTGGAATTAAAAAAGCTAATTATCATATAATAATTATATTGTGCATAAACAAAATATCGACTGTTTTCTAGAAACCATCATGCAAATGTGTCCCCCGCTTTGACTGCACGTCTCTCTATTCGGATAAGAGCCACGAGTTCATAAAATGTGTTTTTTGTACCACGCATTTATTTGTGAGCTTTATTCATTTTAAACAGAAAATTAACCAAAAAAATATATTATTAATATGTTTTATATAAATAAGTAATTTATTTCTAAAACGAATCTGCATGCCTAAAATCCAATATTCATGCGGTTTGCAATGTATAATCGAATCAAATCAAATTAGATTGAGATTATGGAGTGGTTTTCATGGCTGTTTAATATTAGTTTCCTTAAGAGCAAAAAAGGGCAAAAATAAAAAGAAAAATGAAAAGAAAAGAAAACAAGTGGGAGCGTGACGTCATGTATTTATTTGTATTCTTGTTGACAGTACACGCTGCACACGTGGCACGTGGGTTATGCCCCGGGACGGGACTGTTGATGCAACGCTCCAATTTTATTTAATAATTTTTCTATAGGTATATTAAAAAAAACAAACATGAAAAACGCGTGATAGATAAAGACGAGAGTCTGAGTTGCGTGTGGGGTCGCCTCGCTGCGCTCTGTCTCGTAGCGCGTGGCCCCCACTCTCTCCATTTGCCGACGGATTTTGTTGAATCGATTGGAAAAAAAACACGTGACTTCTTGTGTATTACTCTTACATCCAAATAACTGTATGTGCGTATATATATATATATATTCATTTGTTTATATAAATTTATTTCGCATTCACGATGTGACTGGCCATTTTGTCTCCGTACACACACCACTTATCCACTGTGTGATTTATTAAAATAAAATAAAATCACGGATAAATAAAATGTGACGTTATGAGGGCTTCTTCACAATTTGCAAAATGTGTGCGCTAAGAAATGAATTGGTATGGGAACAAAACGTTGCCGGACAAAAGAACACACACCATTTATTTATTTAATATGAGAAGTTATTGTCTGTGATTAAGACTACCGAAACGATGAGTGTCTCCGCATCATGTCCGTCCCACTTTTTTAATTTATTCAAAGCATCTTAAGCCAGACACCGGGTGGGTCCCCCGCTACCTTCTCATATCTAATCTACATTTGCCTTTGGTTCTTCTTCTTTTATGAAAAATTATCATCCAAGGACAAAATTTAATCCATATTTATATATATATATATATATATAAGCAAAGGTTTAATTAAAATGATATAAATATATAATATTTGTATTTGTATATTTTAATGTTTCATATTTATTTTAGAATATTTTCCCAAAATCTGACTCCGGTAATACGTTGGTGCACATTTCATTTGCTCGCCATAAATTGAGATCTATTTGCACAATTTCATTTTCTTCTATTTTTGTAACAATTATAAAGACTTTGTTTTTATTTGTTGGGTCTAATATAAGTATATCTAACTTGTTTGTCGGATCCTATGAACTTTATTATTATTATTATTATTGAGTTGTTGGACCAAGATTAGGCTTTGATTCATAGGTTTGTGACAAGAAAATTGAGATTTAATTCAGCTTAATTACTGTTATAGATTAATATTTTATCGAGTAAATTAAAGAAAAAAATCTCCAGTAACTTGATTTTTTGTCTATAAAAAAAAAGATAATAAATTTCATTTTGTCTATAAAAAAATAGTTCGGCCCCACTTAGAGCTGCAGGTACTTTTACACCGTACCCATGTCTATTTCGTTTTCTATAAATTTCATATCTCCCCTCCCACTTCCATCATCATCATCATCTCCACTTCTCATTCTAGAGAGTTCCTCAGTTCCCAACCCTAGAAGACAGGTTATTTCTCATCGTGCATGGCATTGAGCCTCCTGTCTCACGAGGTATCGGACCTCTGTCTCGGCAAGCCACCGCTGCGGTGTCTCTCCGCCGCCTCCGCCACCGTCTCCGACGCCGTCTCCGCCCTAAAATCCTCCGGCGAGCCCTTCCTCAGCGTCTGGAGCTGCAACCACGAGGACGATGGGGCGGAG